TATAGGGTCCACAACCTTGATATACCATATTTTTATGCTATTTGAGAACGAAGGGCGGCCATTTTCTCTGTCAGTTTTCGGCCGATTTTCACGAAATTCGAACTCAGTCGTCCTTAGGGTGTAATGGTGATGCAATAATACGTTTTGTTAAATCGGATAAAAATTATGACCTCTATAGGGTCCACAAGCTAAAATCGCGATTTTTCGTACAATCAGGGGCCATAATTCAGAAAGTTACGTTCCGATATGCGCGAATATCGAAAGGAACCAAGATCTTTGGGTTATACACTTACATTTCAAGTTTCATCAAAATCGGATTAAAATTGTGACCTCTATAGGGTCCACAACCATGATATACCATATTTTTACGCTATTTGTGCAACAAATCGGATAAAAATTGTGACCTCTATAGGGTCCACAAGCTAAAAACGTGATTTTTCGTACAATCTGGGGCCATAATCCATGAAGTTTCAGTCCGTTACATGTCAATATCGAAAGCAACCGAGATTTTTTGGAGATAAACCTATATTTTAAGTTTTGTCAAAATCGGATAAGAATTGTGACCTGTAGAGTGTCCAAAAACAATTGTGGACGGACCCACTCAGAGGAGTTGTGCATATTTTGGCTTGTGGGTTGCACCGCAGTTACAGTGCGTACAGAATCCAGTTCTAGGGTGCACATTATGTCCGTAATCTTAAAAGCTGCAACTCAAAATAAAATGAGAAAGGTAGAATTTAAAGTTACTCTTTTATCGAGATAAGTCAAGTTTGAAGTTCAAAACCAAGAAAGAATGTAGCTGTACTGAAGCGAGGCGATTGTCTCTTCACTGTCATTTACAATAACTTGTTTTAGGTGTATTAATTCCATTTCTAGGGTTCTGTTCCTAACCTTTCTAAACATGCTAATCCAGAAAATTGAGTCGGATTTTCATACAAACTGGGAAAAACAAGCAAAGTATTATACTTCAAACTTCCGTTTTGATACTCTTTTCAAATCAGTTTCTTTTTCTCGAGATTCAATTGTTGAGCTAACCTATTGTTGTGTGTGCCCATATTTTGCTAGGAAAGGGTTCCTAGTTGTTAAATTTGATGACATATCTCCTTTATTACATCACATTTCAATTAAAGAATCACCCCCACCCCCTTCTCTTATGATATGATTCATGATGATTAAGTAATTTGCAATGCATATTTTTCTTCAAATATGAGGTGCAACCCTTGACTAGAAAATGGCAGCACTGATCTCCCCTTTGACTACATAGATTTTCAAATTCAAGACTCAAATTCCCTCAGTCCGAAATTATGAGGTGATCGAGGATGATTGAATGGTTTAGTAAGTTGCAGCACACAAGTAGGTCTTTTTCTTCGAAACAATGAGGTGCAACTCAAGATTATAAAAAAATATGGTTACACTTATCTCCCCTTTGACTACATAGCTTTTCAAATTCAAGACTCAAATTCCCTCAGTCCGAAATTTTGAGGTGATCGAGGACGATTGCATGATTTAGGCAAGGATGGCAAATAGCCTAGATTACAGTGTACAGTATACAACATTATTGTAAAACAAAACCCATGATTTTCTCTCCAACCTATTTGACAAAAAAAAGATCAATTGAAAATATAAATTATAGATGTATGCTCCCTATTGCCCTCCAACTGGCCTGGAGGAGGGAATGGGAAGGGCTGTTTCACAGAGTTCAATGAAATGATGAAAGAAATACCAAATCATTATGCATATCAACTTGGTTGAAATCTTTCACAATTGTACTTGAGAAAAACATGATATTGAAAATTAGTTCTTTTTTGGGGAATAGGCATCTTACTAACCAAATCAAAATAGTCCATAAGGAATACACGAATGAGATGCAAAGCTGATTAGGGGCATGTACAGTGAGCCAGAAAGATGTGATTAACTAAAATACTTGATTTAACGGAATTTGTTTACCACCGGTAACGTATCTAAGAGACCTTATAACAATTATGGTCGGTTTTCATACCACCCATACGTTCAACAGGTAATAAAATCTACTTTGTGGCCCGCTGCATAGCCCCGAAATCGGTCTTGCATCTAATTTGTGAAAAGTCTACTGTGACTTCAGTACAAATAATCAAATTTTACATTACATATAGACAATCATTATATATGACTTCACTCTACTTAAACAATATAAGTATCCCCTTCATTTGAACAAACTTCAGAAAGGACATTTTAAGCATAATGTAAACCAAATTTGGATGAAATCCCTTCAGTGGTTTCAGAGAAGACTTTTAAAGTGACGGCCGTTTTTGCCTTTTTGGACCCCTGGTGGCCCAAACTTCTTCATTTGAACAATCAAAGGATCACGTGTGACAAATTCGGTTGAAATCCATCCAATATTTTTGGAGAAGTCGAAAATGTAAAGTGTGTAGATACAGACCACGACAGGTGTCACATAAGCCCTCTGGATCTATCTACTAGGGCTTGCCGACATTGGTCATAGTAATATCGCGATATTTATTCAAATAATGTCTGTGTAAATATCGCGAAACTTGCTATTCATTCAAAACAAAAGGATTGATGTAAGATGCGAAGCGTTACTGTGAAAACGCCACCAGTGGGCCAGTGCTTTCAATGATTTTTTTTTATCAGGACACCCTAATACCAGTAGACGAAATTTGCTTTAGAAAGAATTATTTTGATTTAGATTCATGAAGATTGCTTATGTTATAGAATCCTTTTAGATTCTTGCAAAAAAGGACAAAATTCTAGAGCCAAATTCTAATAATTAACAATATATCGCGATACATTTGTTTTGAAGATATATTATCGTGATGACGATATTTCGAGATATTAAGAAGACAGCAATATAATACTATAGATAGGAATTTGGATGCCTGCACTGAAAAAAAACTTGTGTTGAAACAACACAAACTTGTGTTGTTTTCAACACAAGTTAGGTGTCTCTATTTAACAACACAAACTTGTGTTGAAACAACACAAACTTGTGTTAAATGTTGAAACAACACAAGACTTGTGTTAAAATTTACCAAACAACACAAACTTGTGTTGAAACTTGTGTGAAAATCTACACAATACTTGTGTCGAAACTTGTGTTGAAGTTTCTGAAACTTGTGTTGAAATTTCTGAAACTTGTGTTGAAATTTCTGAAACTTGTGTTGAAATTTCTGAAACTTGTGTGGTTTCATAAAAACTTGTGTATAACCATTTTCCCTCAATTTAGCAATCTTTCCCATGCAGCCCCCCACCCCTTTTGCTCTGTTTAACCTGTAAAGTTTGATAAATGAGGTAACAATAATTATATTTGTTAAATTATCATTTATTCATAAAATGATAGGAAAAAGTAAATTAACACCACCAAATCAAAACTAAATAGATATCATTTGAAATGTTAACAGAAAAACAGAGATATAATTCTAATACTAATAAAAATTTTGTTATACTTTGCCCCCCTGCCCCCCACATCACAAAATTCAAAATAGCTATTTAATTTTTTCTTTACCCGAAAACAAGAACTGAGAAAAGAAAGATCCCTACCCCATACCCCAAAAATATATAATTCAAATATATCTAAATTTAATAACATCCAAACCAAGCCCTAATTAGATTAATTATGCACTAAATTGAAATACTTTCAGAAACTGAAAAGTGCTACAAAGTCATTACAAGTGATTTGTGAGGCATCTAGAAATAACTAGCATACACAGAAAACTAACAAAAGAAAAATGCACTATTTTGCAGGAGTAATAAATTGATGTAGAACCTTTTCCTCAAACAAAATGAATATTTTGTACATAAAAGGAGCAAAGCATCAAGATTACAGGATTGAAAAATAAAAAAATATCAGAGAAAATCGCAAACATTAAATAATATGTACAAAATATATATAAATAATCACAAGTCAAAAGCAAGGAGGAGCCACTGTGGTTCAGTGAGTGCATTGGCCTAGAAATTTCAACTAGATTTTCCGACATAGTTCCCACACATCAGTAGTGTAGGACATGGCAAGGGATAATTGGGTATAAGCCCAGAATTGAAACTACCCCCACTGCGTTTACTTTAAAGAACCCTTGACAATTGAATTATCTGACTCAATGACAGACCCTTCTGATCCAATGTGCGTGTGTTAACCATTCGGCCCTCCTGGGTTCCCTTTAAACAACCCTTGACAGATGAAATATTTGATATAAGAGTAGGTTGTAGGGCAGAATCACCATAATAACACAGAAAAGTAGGATATTAAACCCTATTTCATTTCATAAGCAAGGGAAAGTCACCTTAATGTAGGTCAAGGTTTTTTGTAATTCTGGGTATATTTGATCTACATTTGGTTTCTAGACTATGCCTATTAAATACTTTATGATTTCCGACCAAATTCTAAGTGATTTATATGTCACTTTACATTCTATATTATACATAAATTTCTGTAGAGAATTAAAATCTAATTGTGTTTGGGATGAATATTTAACAGTAAAAACAAAAAAAAATATTCAAAAATTGGGTCAAATGCATTCTTTTCCAGAATTATGCTTGGGATCTCTTGTTGTTATCATACATCAAATAATCTTCCAGCCTAAAAAATAAAAAGTAGGCAATAAGAATACTTTCTTACTATTTATGGTTCACAATGTTTAAATAAACAATTTATTTTGCCACATCTAGACTGAGTCTCTATTTTGTTTCATCTTTGGGTAACACTTATTGTGTCTTGTCCAGTAACAGACCCAGGCAGATTATTATATTTTATTTCCATCGACAACAAATTGGATATCACCTATTAAAATCTATTTGAAAAGTAAAATATTGTCCATTTTTATACTGCTATTTACTGTAAAAATACACATAGGGTCTATCACAACTTGAAGAAAATCAATGGATGTGATTGTCAAAAATCAAGAATGCCAAGACTTGAATAGGAGAGTCCTAGGCATTGCCCCAAGAAGAATAACTAGATTACCAATCAAGTGTATAGAACTAGTTGATGATTAAAAATACAAATATGTATGTTACTTACATTTTACCTGATTATCAAGCCCTGTGAGAAAAAGTTTCCATAATATGAATAGCCATTTCCAACTGTCTTGATCTTTCTGATGTAGTTAACTGAGAAAAAAAACATACTATGTTTTAGTTGACTTAAATCGATTCAATATTTAAATAGACGAAAGTTTTAATTTAATTAAATTGTATTGTAATGTGTTGGTTTGCTTTGTCACAGATGAGACAAAATGAAAAAAATGAAATGAAATGGGGTTTGGCGTCCTACTGTTCAGCTTCGACTGGGCTGATGAGGTTGGGCATATGCCATACAGTGTGCCACGAGAGAAATTTTGCCGGGTACCGTGACCCTAAGGCCTACTCTTGTATCAAATTCTAACTGCCAGGGGCTCTTTTACATGCACGCCAATGTGTACACGGGACCACGTTTTTTTGTTCAATCTGAACGACTAGACAGCTGTCCTTGTAAGGCCCCCCGTACTGCATCGTCTTACTGCAAACCCGCGACCTTAAAATATGCAAACCAGTGTCTAACCCACTTGGTCACCATGGGTCCCCACAGATGAGATAGTCATATCTACATGTATCTGGACATTAGTAAGATTCTGTCTGTGCACATACATGTAAGTGTACAGTTTTACTATACTAAACTGAATTTTAAATTTCAAAATATTAAAATGAAATCGAGGTTTATGTCACATCAGCTCCAACCGGGCTATATTGTGCCAAACACATTATGGTGAGATTCTAAAATACCACAACAACAATCTTTTCTATTAGAATTGAACACTCACCCTCCAAAAACACCTATGAGAAATCATAGGTGCTCAAATCACCATTTCTTCAGCTCTTTCTTTTCCCATATTTGGGTTTTTTGACTTATTTTATTATATGATCTTTGATTTGCTATGGCATCTAATATGGAAACTGAAAAATATGAATATGTGACATGTAATTAACTGTTTAAGATACCTTACCATATACAAACTGTGTGATATCTAAAACCATTTTAATCCCAAAGATATTACCTAAGCCGTGAAAATCTGTTTTAATAACCCTTGTTTGTCATGTGATTTGAGAGTCACAGTAATTAAAAGAGAGCCGTGTGGCTTAGTGTGTAAGGCACTGGCTTGCTACCCGGGAGGTTGCGGGTTCGCTCCCAGTGTTGACCGAGAAAGCTCATTTGGATTTTTCAGCATGGATTCCCTGTCTAGTCGTCATGGTGGCTAAGTGGGTAAGACGCTGGCTCGCTAGCCTGGAGGTCGTGTGGCTTAGTGTGTAAGGCACTGGCTTGCTACCCGGGAGGTTGCGGGTTCGCTCCCAGTGTTGACCGAGAAAGCTCATTTGGATTTTTCAGCATGGATTCCCTGTCTAGTCGTCATGGTGGCTAAGTGGGTAAGACGCTGGCTCGCTAGCCTGGAGGTCGGGTGTTCGATCCCTGCATTGGCCGAGAAAGTTCACCCAGATTTTCCGTCGTGGTTTCCTCTTGTAAGTGATGCAGGACGGAGGGCCTGACAAGGACAGCTGTCTAGTCATTCGGATGAAATGAAAAAACGAGATCCCGTTTACACGTTAACGTGCACGTAATAGATCCCTTGACAGTTGGAATTCGATACACCGCAGTGCCGCTGTCCGGGCAAAATTTCCCTCATAGCACACTGTGTGGTGTATGCCTGTCTTCATTAGCCCAGTTCGGAGCAAAACAGTAGGACGTTAAACCCCATTTCATTTCATTTCTAGTCGTTTCAATGGAACACAAAACCTGAGGTCCCATTGGCGTGCATTTAAGCCGATAGTATGGTAGTTGGAATTTGTTGGCTGTAGCACCCGTGTCACAGTTCGACTGCTAGTTTGCGATACCCACTCGATATGAATGAGTGGTGATTGGCTAATGAATTCTAAAATCAGACGAATGCTTCGGCGAAGCGGACACACCACTCAAATACAATTCGGCCAAATATATCAAACATGTTTGATTCGGGCGTATGTCAGTGGATAAACTAGGTGAAGTTTAGCGCCAATTGATTCAGCCAAATCCTTTGGCTAGTTTATCCAGCACTGAAGATTTAAGTTTGTACTTTCTTTATATGCAAATATCACATTTGAAAGAGGCTGTAAGCCTACTTTCTTTATATGCAAATATCTTATTTGAAATAGGCCATTATTATGTGATTCCCCACTTGAATGTGATTAGGAATAGGGTCGCCTGTCCAGCCTTGCGGGTTTTCTCCGGGTCCTCCGGTTTCCTCCCTTTCCTAAATACCCCTAGGGTGTATTCGAAACAGTGTTCCGGTGCAGAGAACGGACGGAGAATGGGTTCTTGTCGGACTTGAGCAGTCTGGAATGCGTTCACGAACACATTCCCGTTCTCAAATCCCACACTACCTCATAGCTGGTGTGAGGGAGAACAAACATGGTCGACGTATCGATAACTGCTGAGAAAACAGCATCATGGGTGCATTTATTAATTTAAAAGTTTAATAACGTTCGAAAATTGGATGTAGTATGTGGCCAGTATAACATGAAGTAAGTTAGGTTGCCAGGCAACGAAACATATGCCCACAGCAGTTTAATCGTTTGCGCAGTCAACAGGGATTGTCGCATATTCATTCTTTTGTAGGTAATGTGGGCATTTACAAGAAAATTTCATACAAGATTATAATTTTCGTCGTTTGTGGGTTTACAAAGGTTCTACAAACTGAAACAAGGGCCTTAATTGTTGAAATTTGACAGATTTTTTTGTTTTGTGTTTTACTAATTTAAATAATGCATACAATTTTCATACAAATCGGATGATAATTTTGTTGTTCGTGCGTTCACAAGGTTCGAAAAAGTGAAACAAGGGCCACAACTCTAGACATAATTCACAGAAATCGCAGAAATTTAATAGACGTCTTCGTTTCACTAATTTAAAAGATTTAAATGAATTTCACAAAGTGAAACAAGGGCCATAACTCCAGAAGAAACTAACAGAAATTATTGAAATTAAATAGGATTCATCTCATTAAAATAAACAACATATCAATTTTAAAATAATCAGTTCTGTAGACGACGGACAAACCTACGGACGAGGGCGTATCAAAAGGTGATGTAATCGTCATCCAAAGAATTGAAAAGGAGTAAAACGGTGTCATAATTTATCAAAATTATGCTTAATAGCGAAGTAAATACTAAACAAGTTATCGTAACAGATTGTATGAATTTAATTCATCTTGTTACCATGGATACCGTTCTCTCATGTTCGAGACTCATGAAAGTGTTTTCATGTTCTTCAGCCGTTGTCGAACCTGCGCAAACACTGTTTCTAATACACTCCTACGGTACGCGCAAGCAAATCATTCAAATAAAATTGAACAATATTAGCCTCGAAATTACCTAGCGCCAGTAAGTATAAAGGATCTATCCGACAAACACTAACAACAACTCTAGGTTGATTACATGTAGTTTCCGTGGCGTATTCCCAATAAGCGTTAGAAACAAAGATATACACCCTTAATCCCGGTGCCGATAAATGTTGGGTTGTGTGGAACATGCTAACAAATCTCAGGTACGATATATGTTTGATTCTGGTTGAGAACAGCATGAGAGCAACATGATTGTTTTCATTGGAGATGAGACGCAAATATTCAAAGGGGTCAGACAAACTCTAAACCAACCACGTTCCCTTCACTGAGTCCCTTCAAAGGAGGCCCTGTCTGTCTACCTGTGGAATAACATGCATTTGTATCTGTTAAATTTGTGTGGTAGACAGATTGATATTATTTATATAACGTCTTACCCCAAACAAATTGCAAAAGAAACCATGAAGTTTCTGAGAGCGATATTTCGTAATTAGTGTGCTTTAATGGTGGGAGAATAAATAATTAAATTTTTCAAACACAAACTGGTCATATATAAAATAGCATTTTCTGACAAGACCAGCGATAATCTCGTAAGATATGACTTTTACTATGTCTATTAAATGGTTTTCGACGTCTCTTCAAGGTCACCGTCTTGCGCCAAAGTCGTGAAACGCACCGTCGGGGGATTTGTTGGGGCCTGTCTCCCCCAGGAAAATTTCTAGAAATTTCAAGTCGGTCTTGCCTGGCAGTGAATACGGCAACCTGAAAGTGGTCGATTTTAATGTAGACATCTGAACTCCAATCAACAAATCAATCAACCAGGCTGTTGTCGTTGCATTCACATGACACCAGACGTGTCACCGATGAAACAAATATGCCTGAAACAAATGTCGCTGTTAGTGCGACCCATTTGTGACAATTTCAAGGTCCCAAATAATAGTCCTTTTTTACTATTAATAGTAATTCAATCAGTAAGTGCTATTTACCTTATAATAGTCGTCTTGGCTTTTACCCGACATTACACAAAACACCAATGGTAACTGTCGGGTGGTCTCTCCAGTCTTAATGAAGGCGTGTATGGAAAACAGCTGAGACCATGGCTTGTTCACCACCCGAAAAGTTGCATCCATATACCAAGTTTTTGCGCGTGCGAGTAGTTGCATCTGTCTATCAGTACAAAAAATGTGATGGCGCCTTTCCCCAACTTTTACTCTTTTTTGATAAAATCCCGGTGCACTATGATCGATGAAATCTTCGTCAAGCTAAAACAAAAAATAAATAAAAAAGTACATTTAAGTACATGTTAATAAATAAATAAAATTGTACATTTAATTACATGTTAATAAATTCTTATATACATGAGTATTTAATTGCATGAGTACTTACGCTTGACGACACGTCAGTGGGATCTTTTGGTCGCAGAGTCTGTCGGGTTCTTTATAGCGACCTTACAAGTGCTGCAATGGGTGGTCTGCTATGAATGGGTTCTTCTGCAGAACCGACACTGGATAAAACTCTCTCCGCTATTGAGGAACATGCCTTGGTAAAAACATTTCCTTTGGCTTCATGCTTTGCCTGTAATGATAAGATAAAACATATTAAACTACAAATATATTATTGGTTTATTTATATTATAACTAGAGTTAATTATGCAGAATTAATATAACACAACATACACAGATGGCAATAGAATGAGACAGTGTTCAGAAAAAGGGCGGAAGAAGACTACCTGTCCTACTTGATTCTAGGACATATATATAGCATGGACCTACTTGATTCGACCAATTTAATACAAGGAAATGAATGGCATAGTGTGTGGCAAGTGAATTTAGTGAACTTTAAACCCCATTTACTCGCCCTCTCTCTACAGAGATAAATACTTTTCGTGTTACATACAATAACAATTATTGGCCATTATTAAAAAAATATATTAAAAGGAAATGAAATTCTGTTACCTGTTTTTCTTTGTGTAGTACATGCTAACATCAATGACTGGGAAAAAAAATAACGAAACTGTAGAGAAACTTCTGAATCATTGAAAGTCTAATATTAGGCCTACACATTGATGACATTGATATAAAAAAAAAGGCTGATTTGTTTGTTGTTGTTTTTTTCTTTTACAGAAATAAGATTACATTTCAACTAAACAACTAACACAAAAGTTAGTATCTAGCTATAGTCCATGTCTGGATATACATTTCTCCTTTTGCCCGAACGTCTATAAAAATCAAAGATGGCGGCCAATAATTGCAACCGGGTATTACTATAAAATCAAGACAGATTCTTACCTGCTGGTCCTAGTCGGCGGTTTCTTGCAATTATAAGTATATGAACAACGGTGTAGCGCCGATTAGCTAATAATAATTAAGCACGATTTCAGAAAAATTAAGACAGATTCATTAGATTGCTGAATTAGCGGAACACTTTTAGAACACATCAAAAAAATTTTCTTTGTGGCGCCATTATATAAATAGACTTCCGGTGCAGTCAGTGGCAGTAGTTCTAAATCTGACTGTTTTAAACGAAACGAATTATTATATACATAGAAGCTATATATACATGTTAAATTAAATACACGGTTTTATTTTTTGTAAAAATTTACAAACCTGCGGTCTGGTATTCTATGTGACCATTATAATTTTTTTTAAAATATCACGGCTAAAGCACCCTGTTGATGCTAACTTCACTACATCTATCTAACTGAATGTCGCTGATATAATATCAAAGAAAGAATTTGTCGCAATGACTAAAGTATAGATACTTCTTCTTAGTTAGTTGTATTTTAAGTCCGCTTCCACCGAAGTGATATCGCAGACAAAAAGTATAGATAACTTGGAGAACCATTATATCAATAAGTCGATTATGAGATACACGTGGATGATCAATTAAATTTGATTGGTTACTTTTCAGTTAACCAATACTGTCCAATTTCGATTACATCAACCAATTACATTATTAAGAGTTTTACTCATTTTTTTTGTTCATTGTACATTGAATCAATTTTCGAAAACACCAGGGTGCTGAAAATCACATGTACACTATATATTCATTTGATCTATCAGTTTATTGGGTCAATAAAAAAAGACAGACATTTAACTTTACAGACAACTTAACATCAATTAACATTCAAGTCTGTCTGGCAATTGTCTGATTAATTGGTACTCACACCCTTCCAGTGAAGAACAGCATGTGATTTTCGAGATGTGAATTAAGCCCTTTATTACTTTTCTTAAAACTTGACGACTCCCGAATTCAGACTTTGTATGGAGTTTTTTTTTTAAAAAGAAAACAAATCTTGGAAGGTACACATTACTTGTGTTAATGATATGAAAAAAACACAAGATTTTATAAATCGACACAAGTTTGTGTTAATGCAATGCAAAACAACACATAACTTGTGTAGATTAGTTTTAACACAAGTACTTGTGTTGAGATCCAACACAAGTGTTTTTTCAGTGTGTATTTATCACAATATCATTGACCTGATGGGCCCACCCCATACACATGTAGCCGAACCAACAAAAATTATTTTTTCAATTTATCAATCATTCTATACATTTTTTTTTTCAGAACGTCTTTCTTTCTTTTCCAAATAACCCCTTCCAATTTCTTGCTGACTTTCATAGCTCCACGACAATCTTTTGGTGAAGGCCTAGTTTTAGATTCAAAGTTTTTCTCAAATAGGTGCCTTAATGCAGTTTGTTCCTCTTCTGTCCATTTTGATTTACCATTTAATGTTGCCTTTTTGCCTGGTTTCGGTTGATCATCTTCATGTGTTTCTAATTTATCTAATAAATCAGGTTCAAAAACTTCGTTCTCCAATTTCTTTTCTTAACCAAAAACTATGCAAACATATTAAAGGTTGAAAGTAGGTCTACGAAAGGAAAAAACATCTACATGTATATTCTCACATATCATTGAGCCCATGCGCCATTGGTCCAACATTCTATTGATGTTCTATATTCCCATCTTTAAGAGAATGTTTCTATCATTGTTCACCTTTCAAGACACCTAGTAGTAGAACAACTTTTTAAATTCTAAATCAGAAATGTCTAGAATAGGCTATCAAAAAGGACTAAAGACTCTAAAAACATGTCCTTTTTTTAAGAAATCTCTTAAGACCTAACTCTTTAAATCTGTTTACCCTTAGTGTCAATAACTATTTTGTTTATGGTAATTTGACCAGTTAGGACATTTATTTTGTTCATTCCTTCAATGTGTTTATATGTTTCTTGTGTCATTGTTATTTTCATGTTTTAAAGATATCTTGAGCAACCAGTTTACTGAAAGTCATGCAATTTTTCTATCACCTTCCCCTTTAAGTCATAATCAAATTACTTTATGTATGAAAGCCGCCTCAATATAATCAGGGTCCGAAGAGACTTAAATTCATACCTTCCCGCGTATGGTCAGAATTTCCTGTGATTCTAACAATTTTATTTCAAATGATGTCAAATCGCCAACTAAATGTTCACATCCGTCTCCCTTCTTTCTATTTTCAAGGGAGGTTTAAATTAAAAGGATTGTGGAATTGTGCCTAAAGGTTAGACTCTAAATCTTTGTAATAACTGCTAAAAAAAACAAAAATACAGAACAAGCACACTAATAAACAACGTTTCTTATCATATACAATGCATTTGAGATGAGTTTTGTATTTACCTTTATGCTTGTAATTCTCCTGTTCTTCTATTATATAGAACAACTTCGCTTAAATAGCTTCAGCAACCTTTAGGAATTTATCATAACTGCAGTGTTTGGTATCAAGATCTAAGCTGGTTATTGCATCTTCCAGATACATGTAACAGTTTAATTTTACAATATCTTCAGGAACAGGCAACTTCGTATGCGTGTTGTATTTCCTCTCTTCCAATAGAACAGTAGCCAATTTAGCAGCTCTAGTTCCCCAAAAGATCTCCATTGTTTTGGGAAGATCTTCTGCATGTTTGCGACATTCAGGCTGCGCATTCATAATTGATAGTCCAATCTTGCCATTTATAATTCTCTTTATATCAAAGCCTAATTTTCGTGCATTGCTGGGTTTTTGTAAATATCTTCAGAAAGAACAGAAGCTGTCATTAACGTAGCACGTACTATATGATCAAAAAACTGAGGTTTTAAGTAGAACCATAGATCCTGCTCCTGTTCAAATGGTTCGATTTCGCGTAGATTGATTAATAATCTAGCGCATAATCTCATTATCTGTGCCGTATAAGTCCCACGCATAAGTTTGTTTCCTACGTTTTTTTTCCATCCAGGAGTTGCCTAGTTGCACAATTAGTCCATCTTTTCTGGCTGTATTAGCGATGTGATCCATTTGAATACGTGAATAAACTTCTTTTACCAATATTTGAGAAGCCAATGGTTTTATTCTCCCACAAATTACATCGGATTGCGTCACTAATGAAGAAGAGGAAGTCTCTTTTTGAATGGAACAGGTCGCACAGGATTTCTGGTGATGTCGCATCAGATTCTTGCTTATCCATAGGTAGCAGTTTGGACAGGGGCCATAGTCTTGTACCTTAAAAGACTTCAAAGGTCTTCTCTCTAAAATAATTTCCCCTTTTCCCCTGTTCAAAGATTTCATATTAAATTCATGATTAAATTTTCCTCTTAATAAGGTTCTTAACTGTCTTGAGCGCTGTGGGTCCTTCTCATCATGTATTGCTTTCAGATCAGAATTCGCATGTGCAGGAAGTGTTAAATTTCGTGTTATATATTGCGAAAAATTTGAAACCTTGACTTCGCACAAACTACAATATTGGTAGCTATTATATACCCTACCTATTTTCTTTCTTTTACCAGTTTTAGTGTTTTCTTCTTTCAACACCTTAAATACATAAATGTTTGGTTGATCTTCTGCCCTCCGGATGGTCTCTTCATCTAGATCTTCATCACTCTCAGAATCATTCATTGCTTCAGCATACTTCAATTTACAGGAATCAACATAATTTTGAAATGAATGAGTGGTTTCCATTTCATCTGGCGTAGTAGCTATGATTGTGTCATTTTTGTTGAAAGTTGAAGGCCCAGCAACTTCAAAAGATAAATCTAAAGGCGGGCTTGTATCTTTCCCAGACAGTATTGGAAATATTTCACTCACATCGCTGTTTTCACAGCTGTCAGAAACATATTCATTAGTACACGAATCTGTCGATGGGCTAAGGACATACTCGGAACCACTAGAAAAGAGATCATCTTCGGATAAAGTTTGGTTATTTAATGGCACCGGTAACTGTAGTTGTGAGTTGTTAGTTTGACTATACTCTTCATCGGATAAAGTTTGGTTATTTAATGGCAGCGGTACATATAGTTGTGAGTTGTTAGTTTGGCTATACTCTTCATCAGATAAAGTTTGTTTATTTAATGGTAGCGGTAACTGTAGTTGTGAGTTGTTAGTTTGACTATGCTCTTCATCGGATAAAGTTTGGTTATTTAATGGCAGCGGTAACTGTAGTTGTGAGTTGTTAGTTTGACTATACTCTTCATCGGACGTACTTTCTGTATTTGTCAACTATAACAAAAAAATATGAATTAATGAACAAGAACAAAATCAACCATAATTTTAGTAATACTATAATAGTAGTTAAAGAAAAGAGTGCACTTAACCCCACTTTATTACTGGGTAGAGGCCTTTTTAGCTTTTGTATTCTTGTATAGGTTTCACAAGTTAACATCGATTTTGTTATGTAACAATGAATATTTAATAGACTGACCAAATGAAACTTGAAAGTGAAATGAAATGGAGTTTAACGTCCCACTGTTCTGCTCCGAACTGGGCTAATGAAGACGGCCTACTTTTATATCGAATTCAAACTGTCAAGGGATATTTTATGTACACACCAATGTGTACACGGGACCTCGCTTTTTTGTCCAATCCAAACGACTAGACAGCTGTCATTGTCAGGCCTCCCGCCCTGCATCACTGACAAGAGAGTACCATAGTTGAAAATCTGGATGAACTTTTTCGACCAATGCAGGGATCTAACAACCGACCTCAAGGCTAGCGAGCCAGCGTTTTACCCACCGTGACCCCCGCCCCCAACTTTAAAGTAAGCCAATAAAATACTTATAATGAAAGCCACCAACTTTAAAGTAAGCCAATAAAATACTTATAATAAAAGCGATTGAAGTAGACCTAATTAGTGTTGCTTCGTTTCGGGTTAGGAATGCAACTTAATTTTTAAGGAATACTGTACATGTACATGTATGATAGACTGCAAAGAAATGAACCTACCCTCTGCCCATTTGAGGCCTTCTACGAAACATCTCAATGTATTCTTTAAT